GGAGCCGGGAGGTCGCGCACCTCAGACCTCGCCTCCCCCATGCCCTCACGGCGCGGCGGGCTTTGTCCGAAAGAGAACAATGCGGTGTGGGCCGGACTCACAAAGCCCCGTGAGCGCACCGGGCCCGCAGGGATGGGGTGGGGTGGGGGTGGGGGGTGCAGTTTGAACACGCCGCGTAAAAGTCAGAAATAGCAGGACATTTTTGCGGGAGAGGTCTCTGGAAACTTTCGCCCCGGCAGTATGGCAAGCGTGCAGGAGCTGCGATGTGTAGTTTTTGGAGAGGACTCGAACCTTCCCTTTCCCCCTCGCTACCCCATCGCTCCAGTGCAGGCGTGGGAAAGACAGCCCGGATAGCCCGACCAACCCTTCCGCTTCTACTGGTCAGGGAGTCAGTAGTGTCTTCCGGCTCGCTTTTTTTTTCGACGAAGGTAAAGGGGTGCGCTTGCGCTGCTGCTGCCAGGAAGGCGGACGAGCATGCAGAGGGGAGGAGTAGCCCGGGGGCGGGCGGGCCGGGTGGTCGAGTTAGGGGGCCATAGGGGGCGCGGGCCGGAAGACCTCTAGGAGGGCAGTGGGGCAGCTGCACCCGCAGCACCCACGTGTGTGTGTCTGTCTACGACATGATCAATTTCGCCTTTCATTTTCATTTTTCTACACAGTAGCGCTGGTATGGCATGTAGCCATGGGGTTGGCAAGAGTCAGCGCGTCAGCTGGTGGTGGCGGTTATCACCCTTAATTTCCTAAAGGTGCGCCACACACTACCGCAGCCGCCCTCTCTTCTTCTCTTTTCTGTCGCCCATTCTTTTCACGAATATAATAATAATAAGGGATGGAGCCCGTGCACTCGGGACATTGTGCAGCAATGCGTCCCATAGGGAAGGGTGTCGGGAAAAGGAGGGGGAGGAAGGGGCGGCGCTGGTGAGCCGGCGAGAGGGGGGGCCAAGGAGGACCCCTCTGGCCAGCTGCAGCCCAGCTCCCAAAGGGGTTAGGCCGAGACTGACCGGCGTCCATCTGCCGCCCGCCCGCCCGCCAGCCGTTTCCTCTGTTCAATGCAGCAGGAGGCATTCGGCATTCGCGCGCTCCGAGCGAGCCTTGTGAAATCACTGTTTATTATTTGCCTACATTCCATGGAATCGGATCGGATCGGCCTGTGGGGCGGGTGGTGTGGACCGCGTGGGAGCGCAGGCGCTGACCCCCCCCCCCCTCCCTCTGCCGGCCCCCTCTTGTCAGCACCCCTTCCCTGTACCCTTCCCACCGTAGCCGAGGTTTCTTTTTATATACAATAATCCATATTTTTTTTATCATTATTCCCACATACTCTCCCACCCAGGCACCCATTACACCGCGCAGTACCAGGCCAGTGCGCTCCCCACCCTCCTCGCCCTCCCCCCTCGTCCTCCCCTCTCGCGGCTGGTTATTGCTTCAATGAGGGAGTGTGTGACTCCTCCGCCGTCATTCCCCCTCACCATTTGCATATTGTTAATCATCTTTTCAGTTGTGACGGCCGGCCGAGAGGAGGAGCTCCCACGACAAATATCTCACCCAAAATAGAGCACTCTGGCCCCTCTTTGCTTTCTCTGCCCCGATCTTCCGCACTTCCTTATTCTCTCTCCCCTCTCTCTAATATCTGTCCGCCGGTACGAACCAAACTTCCGGAACGTCATACAAACGTGCCTCGGCGGCTCAGCAATTACACTCTGTACTCTTCGCCCCTCCCTCCGTTCCTTTGGTCCGCGTCCGGGAGCGTGAGGGCAGCCAGGGCGTCTTCCTGAATCTTTCCTTGCGGCCGACCCCCGCCCCGACACACACAACCCTACCGCGCTCGCCCTGCGCCATTGTACAGCCCAGTTCAATCCCCCTCCCCCCCTCTCTCTCTCTCTTTCACACACACAAACATACTCATACATGCTGCTCGGTCAGCGGCATCGGTCCAACCCCCACGCACCAGAAGCCGACCCCGCGCGCACACACACATGCACACACGTGGCTGTGTGTGTTGGCACGGTGCTCAAGATCGCCCAGCCCTCCCCTCCCCTCTCCTCTAGCAGACGACCGTTGAGTTTCTTTACACCGCGCTGCTGGCGCGCGCGCACGCCGGCCCGCAGCTGGGGCTGCTTCGGCTGCTTCGGCGTTCCACGCGGCCGCGCGCGTCCTGTACTGTACTGGAAAAAGGAGTGTGTGGAGGAGGGGGAGAGGGGTGGGGGTGACTAATGTCCAAACGGACGACGATAGTGTATCTTAGGCAGGGTCTTTCTTATTCGCCGAAGAAAAAAAATTATTGTTGTGGGATGCAACCCTAACAACCCCCTGCTTTTCTTGTTTCAGGCATGGACGCTCTTGCATACGACCCGCAGCGCTTCGCCATGGACTACCACAACATTGGGTTCCGGGAGTGCGCGGCCGAGGTGGCCCGCTACCTGGTGACCGTGGAGGGGCTGGACATCCAAGACCCGCTGCGGCTGCGGCTCATGTCGCACCTGCAGTGCTTCGCGGCGCAGCGGGAGCTCGCCTCCAAGCAGGCCGCCACGGCGGCGACCTGGTCGTACGGAGCGCCACCCACCGCGACCGCCACGACCCCTGGAGGCTACGGCACCCCGTCGGCCACCACGCTCAGCCCGGCCACCCCGGCCACCCCGGCCACCCCGCTCAACGGCGCCGGCCACACCTTCCCGACGCCGCCCAGCTCGGGGCACTCCGGCCACCATCTCCTCGACAACTCGCCCACTAACTCGTCGTCGACGGCGTCCTCCGCCCACGGCGGCCACCACTACGAGCAGCAGACGCCCACCTCGTGCGAGCAGACGCCCACGTCCACGTCCTCGCGCCATGCGTCCGCCTCGCCACTGACGCCCCTCGTCTCCTCCGGCTACCCGCCCACCTCGCCCAGCCACCCGGGCCACCCGTACTACACGAGCCAGTACCCCTACCA